GGGCAGTTAAGGGACAGAAAGAAAGTGGTGTGGCTTGCGCAGAGCAGGTGAAGGGGCGCTGGACGGCTGGGCGATGGGCCAGGCCGTGCAGGACAGGACCTTGTGGGGCCCCAGCCAGGAGGCTTCTGGGCCTCCGGCCGCGCGGTGGGTTTGCAGGGCGTCCTCAGGGGATGCCTCGGTCGATCGGAGGAGGCGAGGCCGACTCTGGGGTGCATGGTGCACATGGGGGGGCCGTCACGCTGCCCCGGAAGATCACTAGGTTCGTCTTGACCCCTGCCTTCGGGGATCTGGACACAGCCCAGTAGAAACGGCCAGGAGGCGGCCCATGGCCGGCTTAGCACTCAGGCCAGCTGGGCCAGGCGGGTCCGAGCATCCGAGCGTCCTGGTGCAGCAGGTAGTGAAGGTCTTTGAGCGGCCGGCAGGCAGAAGGAGCAGCGGGAGGACACGGGAGTGGCAGGTGGCGGGGTCACAAAGTGATGGAGACAAAAGCTGAAAATAATGGGAAGGGGTGGGGGGGCAAAGGTGCTGGAGGAGAACAGGGCGCCCGGAGAGTTTGGGCTCTAGTTTTCCAGCAAGAGCAGATTGAGTTTTTGAGGCATAGGGACATCACCAGGAAAGGTGGCACAAGGTACCAGGACACGGGGTGTTCCTGCAGGAACTGCCCGCATTGGTGGCGGGGAAAGAGATTACAAAGGAGAGCTGGGGGCTGGGGTTGTGGCTGGGGGCAGAGCGCTGACCTAACACGCATGAGCCACTGGGTTCGATCCTCAGCACCACAGAAAAATAGAATAAAGGTATGTGTCCACCCACAACTAAAAAATAAATATTAAAAAAAAAGGAGGGCTTGGAATTCTTGTCCCTGTGAAGCTGCGGCTGTGGGTGAGGAGGGCTTCCTGCCAGTCCCAGAGTGAACCCAGCCAATCAGGGTCCTCATTCCACCCCTTCCTTCTCACTCCCACGGATGCCTTAACCTGGGGGACACCCCGTGGTAAAGACAGCAGTTTGTCTGATGAGGACCTGTCTGGCCAGGTCTGTGCAGAGCACATTGGATACAACCCAGACCCTCACCCTCACTCTAACCCTGCAGGGTGGACACCACCCTTGCCCTGGAGCAGGGCCCCTCCACTGCCCATTTGACGTTCTGGGTCAGGTTATCCTCTGCCTGGAGGTGTGGGGTGGAGCGTGGGAGGACGGGTGGTTAAATATAGGGTGCAGTGCTCTTAGTAGGGTGTTTACCAGCACCCCTGACCTCTGTCCTCTGCGTGGCTTTCAAGTGTCACCAGGGCCAGGTATGGTGGCACATGCTTATAATCCAAGCCTCTTGAGAGGTGAGGCAGGAGGGTCACTAAGTTTGAGGCCAACCTTAGCAAGACCCTGTGTCAAAAATAAAAAAGGGTTGGGGATGTAGGTTAGTGGAAATCACCCCTGGTTCAGTGGTTATTATGGAGGGGGCAAAGGGAGATAGGGGCTGTCACCAGACTATCAGGTGACTCCAGAGAAGCAGTGGGAACAGCTGCTCTAGATGACTGGCAGCCCCCAGCTTGCCTGAAGTCACAAAGTGAGCAGCTGAGCCAACCAGGGAGGTGCTAGCCTTTGACCCTTAGGCCACTTTTGACCCAACTTCTGTTTTGCATACGTGCTCTTAGTAGCTTTCTCTTAATAGCTTTTGTTCCCAGGGGTTTAATAGTATTTTTTTAATTATAAAAGCAATAAGGGAGTATAGGCCTGCGAGAAGGCAAGACAAAGTCCTCACACTGGGAATGACGGGACTCTGCGCCTAACTGGCAGGGAACCTGTTCCCTTGCAATGGTGAGTAGGGAGACAGTCCTGGTTCGTAAATGTCCTGCGTTACCTTGGCTCGTTCTTGTAGCATCCTTGGAGACCTCTTTTCCACAAGTGACAGTAGAGGCACCTTGTTGGGAAGACTTTGTGTAAGGGCTCGGGCCAGGGCACACCCTCCCTCCCTCTCCTTACGCCGCTATGTTTTGCTTCCCGGGATTTCTCACTCCGCATCATGTTGTACTTGTGTCATTCTTTGTTCATTGTCAGCCTCAAACGTAATCCCACCAAGGTAGACTCTTGTTCTGCGCTCCATGCCCGGTGCCAAGAACTCATCCTGACACATAGTAAATGCTCAATAAATATTTGTCAAATGAATGACTGTGGGCCTATCGTATTCCTTTGATGACTGCATGTAATAACTCGTGGTATGTATGTATATAATCTGTTCAGCCATTCCCCATGATGGATCTGGACGTTTCCCATGATTGCATTATATGTACCACAGTGAACACAGCCATGCATGAATCCAGGAAAGCTATATGAGCAGGCCACCTTGAGAGACTGCAAGAAACACTGATGGAACAAAGGATCCCTACATTGTGAATGATGGGATACACCAAGCTAAATGCAGTGTGAGCAGGCATGGTGGTGCATGCCGGTAGCTGCAGGTTTGAGGCCAGACTCAGCAACTTAGTGAGGCCTTAAGCAGTTCAGTGATACCCTGTCTCAAAGAATAAAAAAGAGCTTGGGACATGGCTCAGTGGTTAAATGCTTCTGGGTTCAACCCCATTACCCCTCCCCCCAAAAAATAATTAATTAATTAAAACTACAGAGTGAATTAGCCCTTCTGCCTTCCCCCATGCATGACACATGGCCCTTGATGGCCCTTCTACCATCTGTAAATGACCTCTTGCCATTTATATCTCTAATCCCCTGGAATTTATTTTGTGTATAGGAGATAGGGGATCTATTTTTTCTGAATGGATTGCTAATTGCCCCAAAGAATATTGAATAATTCATAATTTCCCCCATGTCTTTAACAGACTCCATCTGGTACATGTAAATTCTTGATGAAGGCCCTTCCTTTCACTCGGCCCTGGGTCTCACTGTGAGCAGTTCTGTGTAGTAGGTTTTCTAAAAGACAAGTGTCTCGTCCCCATGTTAGTCTGTCTTCAGCAGCTGTGTCAACACCTGACACTGGGAATTTTATAATCAACAGAAGTTTATTTGGCTCATGGTTCTGGAAGGATTCCAAGAGCGTCATGCTGGCCTCTGGTGAGGGCCATCGAGGGCCATGTGTCATGCATGGGGGAAGGCGGAAGGGCAAGAAGGCTGAGCTTGCTTTTCTAACAACCCATTTGTCGCCAGGCCCGGGGCTCAGCTGTAGCTCCAGCTGCTCAGGAGACTGAGCAGGATCACTTGAGCCCAGGAATTGGAGACAGCATAGCCAAACCCCATTTTCTAAAGAGGGGCGGGGGGACAGTAACTGTGAAAATGACGTTAGTTCATTTAGGAGGTAGAGCTGCCACCAGGCCCTGCCTTCACACTCTTGCATCAGGATTAAGTTTCTAACACATGAGCTTCTGGGGACACATGCACGTCATGACACATTGTCCTCCGTGCTTTTTTATAAAAGGGTGGTAAACATACAATCCATGAATCATAAGCCAACAGCTCTTTGAATGGTCAGTGTGAATGTGGTCATGTCACTCCATGATTGTTTATTAAAATTTTCTCAGTAATTATATTTCAAGAGGGATTGAACCAAGGGTGCTTAACCACTGAGCCACGTCCCCAGCCCTTTATTTATATTTTATTTTGAAACAGGATTTCACTAAGTTGTTCAGGGCCTCTCTCCGTTGCTGAGGCTGGCTTTGAACTCACTCTCCTCCTGCATGCACCACTGTGCCCAGCTTTCTTTGCAGATTTTACGAAGTTTCTCCATCCAGTGAAATCGAAATTTATTTTGTCAAGTTCTATCAAAAACCTACTGAGGCGGCTAGCGATGTGGTCCAGTGGTAAACACTTGGCCTCTCATGCACCAGGCCTGGGTTCAACTCCCAGCACCACCAAAAAAAGGGATCGTATGTAGGGACTGGGGTGCTGCTGTGTCAGGCCCTGGATTTTATCCTCAGCACCTTGGTGGGGAGGGGGGAGAAGGCCTCTCAAGCACGAGGATGGTCATTGTGTCCACTACACTTGGTTGTTGACCTGGGGAGGCTACGCTTCTTTAGCGTGTTTGTGACAGTCGGTCTTCATTCTGGAATCAGTAACGTTTTGGCTGAGAGAACCTTGGCTGAACTGCGTTCTTATTGGCGGGTCCACAGCCAAAAGCAGTGTGAGAGGAAGAACCAGTGTAGCCCAGACCTTTCTTTTCTGTGGTGTCGTCTTGCACGAAGTTCCCTGAAGACCTTCCCTCAAGGGGGACGCTGGTGGTTTGGCACCGACCTGCCGCCTTGCCCAGGTGCTGTGTGGCCTGGTCTCAGGGACGGGCTTTCCTGAGCTCCCTCCTGCAGGAGGAAGCTGCCACAGGCCGCGGCCGGTGCACCTCAGCCAGCCGCCGTGCTTACTGTCTCGGGGACCTGGGTTGGAAAGGCGTCACCTTCCTCTCCAAAGGAGAAAACAGGAGAGAACTGCAGCTTCGCCCTGGCGCTGGGCTCCCAGGTGGGACTCGGTGGCTCGCCTCCTGCTGTGGCCTTGCCTCGCCGCCGGGGACCTGTCAGCCCTGAAGGCTCCTCTTTCCCGTCATTCAGCAAGTCTGTGCCCCCACTGTGCCCACCCCGCGTGCCCAAGTCCTGGAGCTGGTGCTGGGGACTGAGCCCTGTCCTGTCCTGTCCTCATGGGGAAGAAGGACCACAAAGACCAAGCCAACGCAGCGCCTCCAGCACACACTGGGGGCGGGGCAGCCCCTGTCCTCGGGTCTGTGGCCATGCCA